AATTTATCACTTTCTATGTTTCTATCAGCATGAAATAGGGAGGATAAAAAGAAAAGTTTGAGAGCTACTAATAAAGTTCTATCTTAAAAAAATAGAACTCTGCTTTTTATAACCTACTTCTTAGATATTTCCACTGAAAATATTTCTGATATTTTATATTGTTTCAGAGTTTATTTAATCAGAGAAATTGCCAGTTTCTCCTTAAATTAAATTTACTTTTGCTGAGCATGCAAATCTTTCTAAAGAGACTTGTTTTCTTTTTTAGCATTTAAATACGCTAGGGGTTAACTCTGATGTCATGATTTTTAATGAATTATCTACATTTAATAATACTGAGTATTTCTTATACATGGTGAGATATTTCTCAAATGATGCTGTTACAAAGTTCTCTCTCGTTTTAACAACTGTGGACCTCTTTGAGTTGGTTTTACTTATGTTTGTTGATGAAAATGTGTTTTGTTTTATTTCAAATATGAGATTATTCCAATTATTTCGTCTTCGCGTATTGGCCCTGTCCCTTTGAGCTACTTATGCCCTTTTCATTGTCTCCCTTTCATTTTCTCAGACAGAAGAGCCCCATTGTTCTACTTCCACCCTTATTTTCCCTTTGTTCTTCCCAATCAAGCCTCTTGTTGGACATTTGTGGTGGATTCCTTTGTTCATGTTTTACATTTTTCCCTCTATATAAACTGTTTCCTTATAAGATAATCAGTCCCTATTGACATTCTGAATTAAATGAGATATAGTTATATTTTATTTAGTCTTACATTTTTCTTTTGTCTTTCTACATGTTTTAAATTGCTTATTAAAGTTAATAAAGTCTGCACTTACTAAGTCAGATCCGGGGAATCCTCAATGTAATTTCTCTTGTTTACTTTTGTCGTCCCTGTTTATAGCACATGTTGTTCCTGATACTCTCCTTGGTTTTGTTTTGAAAACTAGGCATTTTAAACATATTGGTGGCATTTATCAACTTAGATTGCTCCTGCTTTCCAACATTTGTGGATTATTTGAAAATCACCATTCTAAACTAATTCTGAAAACAGTGTATTTCCCTATATGTGGCCATCGTGTGGTTGTTCCGCTAAATACTAGACAATACCTGAAAAAAAAATCCTCTCCAGAGAGTAAATGTTGTTAAAGTGTTCTTATATTCACCAAGTGACTGCCTGTGCCTGCTGACACTTTCATTGAACATTTATCTAAGCAATTGTGTTTGTTTTTCTTTTGTATAAGATCTCAAAGCCACTCAAAAGTAAAACTTAGATCAATCTCAGTTCTTAATGGAGCAGGCTTACATCCTTGCAAAGTTCACAATCCTCCTCTTCAGCATTCCTTCTGGTTCCCAACAAGCTTTACTAAATGGTGACTTTAGTATTTAAATCAAATTTTACATACAAATTAATAGATATTTGCCTTTCTAACAAATTCCAGGTTGAAAAATAATCAGACCAAGAGTGTTCAAATTCTAATCTAAGTCAATCTTCTAGGAACTTTACAGACATCAAATAATGACAGTTCTTTGCAATTGGGAGCATGAGCACTTTTCTATCTTTCTCTGCTTTTTGGTGCCTACTCAGCTGGTGTTTCTCATGATGTTGGCTGGATTCAGGTATTTCAGGGATTCCTGAGAGATTGACAGTTGGAGAAAACACAGGATACAGACCTGTCTCTTCTTACAAAACTGAGGATATTTTTTTGTTTTGTTTTTTATAAATGTTCTCTAGGTTACTGTCAGATCATGGTTTATTTCCAGACTTTAAAAACACAGATTCTGACAATCTTTTCCAATATTGCTATGACTTTCATAGAAGAGAAAATTATTAGAGGCCAATATTCTATGACTTTTGTTGACATTATTCCAATGACTTACATTCCACACAGTATGGTGTTGCTTATATGATTATAAATTCCACAATCTGTTCGGATTACATTAAAAACTTGTATATTTCTTCCTATCCTCATCTAGACTCTGAACACTGATTTTACTTAAAATAATGTTATTACTTCTATTATTTTGTATACAAATCACACCTAACAGGAAAAATATGATTAAAGATTTCACGCAAATTCTTCCACGTGTAAAACAAAATAAAACAAAATCGCTAATTTTTTTAAGTTAATTTTTCTTTCTTCAGTAATGCATAGTTACAGGTTAGCTCTGTCAACAAAAATATGATGCATAAAAACTTACAGCCATCCTAAAAGTAATGTTTTACTTCTAGATTGTTTTACAATCTAGAAAAGAAACTAGTATTATTACAAAGATTGTAAGAAAAAAAAACAAAGTAACAAAATATTGTTAAAATGTTAGAAAGAGCTCTGTCCTTATATAGAGATCTTTGATTTCTATAAAGGAATGGTTCAAGAAATTAAACTGTGCCTCCCAAAGCTTCCAGTCCTAAGAGTAACTAAAACATCATATTTATAGTCACTCAGACATATACTTTCAACACTGTTTTAATAAGTTTCCAGCAGAAACAGTGTCAAAGGATGAAACTAAATTCAAAGGGAATAACACATTTTCTGAGAGCTGTAAATACGTAATTTTGAAATGCATTTTCATCATATATTCAAAAAGGACACTTAAATACTCATTAAATAAAACATTTTGGGTATATATTCTACAATATAATAGACACATATACAGAGAGACACATATCCATCTATAATAGCAGTTATAGAATTTTAATATAGCAAAAGGAACAAAATGCAATATAAAATGGTTAAAAATGACACAATTGATTCAGTTACATTAAGAGTAATTTCATCTGTCTCCATCATTTTTTAATGTACAGATTCTATCATCTGAACAATATTACTTTCAGCATTGTATGTTGCTAGTTGTTGTTTACTCCTTGCTCTTTTTAACTTATTCTTCTGCAGGTCCACCATCCAACTCTCAAATAGGTCCCATGGAGGACATTGTTCTTCCTTAGGAATGGTCAGCTTTAGCTTGGATTGTTTCTTGCCAGCTTTTCTTAGCTTAAATTATTCCATCTACCTTTTGTCTCTGGGCTTTCTTCTTTTCTTACTTCTGTATATCTTACTTTTACTCTTACTACATGTCTGGATGTGCGGCTGGGTAACTGGGCCCTGGCATCCTTCTCCTTCTCTTGTTCCTTCTTGATCCTCCTTCTTCTCCTCCTATTTATACTCTCTGCTTGCCAGCCCCACCTATACTTTCTTTACCCAGCTAACTGTCTTTCAATTCTTTATGAGAGCAATCAGATGTTTTAGGTGGGTACAGTAACACAGCTTCACAGAGTTAAACAAAAGCAACATGAAAGAATGCAATACATCTTTGCGTCATTAAAAAAAAAGTGTTCCACAGTGTAAACAAATGTAACGTATCTTAAAATAATATCCCACAATTTTTGTATTTATAAGTGCAACTCTAATTTGAAACATCAAAGAAATTTGATGTTGCTGAACTGTATAAAGCTATATAATGTAAGGATTTTTAGCACATAATTAGGAATTTAAAAAGTTAATATAACCTGTATTATTTTCTAAAAATACCTTTCTTAGGAAAGGGTTTTCTTAGTTTGCTTCCTGTTGCTGAGATAAACAACATGACCTAAAGCACCATGGCAAGGAAAGAGTTTATTTTGCTAATATCTGAGGGAACAAAGGGCAGGAGCTCAAATAAGACAGAGGCAGGGATCATTGATGACTATAAGAATTACTCAGCTTGGTTACTTAGCCCATGGAAAGCCACCTGCAGGCAGGTGCCACAGCCCACAGTGGTTGATGCCTTCCCAAAGAAATTACAATCAATGCTCTGCAGATGGAGAGAGAGGCTATTCCTCAATTGCAGCTTACTCTTTCCAAAGACTCCAGCATATGTCAGGATGACCAATACTCATCAGCACATAGACTAGTTAATTCAGTCATTGTTTTCATCGATTGAAAAATAATCATAGAAGTATTTTGGATAATTAGTTTTCTATCACAAGAATTGTTACAATATTCTCTTGCTTAAAGTTGTTTCCATTTCATGAGAAACAGATATCTATCTCTATATGGGAGATGTTAAATTAATTGTTTACATGACTATTAAAGAAAGATCAATTGAAACACTTTAAGTATAATTTTAACTTGGCAATTTTTGTCAAAATAATTGAGTATAATGTTGGCTTGAAAAATTTTTCAAACTATTAGTGCTGTAGTTTAAAATATCAAAAAATAGAATTTTTGCTATAAAATTTGTGTAAAAGCAGATTTTCAGAGTTACATGATAATATTATAGAATAACATTTAATTTGGTCTTTCATTTTCTGAATATATGTTTGTGAATTTAATTGGAAAACTGATCATGGGATGCTTTTTTAATTTTATGAGTGCATTATTATTGTTAACAACATAAATTCTGTTTTATATATGTACATAGTCTTAAAATGGCATTTATTATTCAAGTTAATGATTTTGCTTTAATATATTTCAATAAATAATTTAATAAAATATTAATCATAGAAATGTTTTGGTGAAATACTCTTTTCTGAATAGTGTTCAGTGAAGAAAAATTCAAGGTTCGAAAAGAAATTTGTAGATGATGACGGGACTGACAACTTGACCTGCTTTTACACTGATGTGAATGTAACAGAATTTCTCGTCTTGATTCCTACTTTTTCTGGAAATGAAATAAAAGATGAGCTGTTTCTATGTGCATTAACATTGCACACAGAGGTAATTAGGTTTCTTCAGCAACTTTCCTGAGGTGGTGACAAAGCACTGCCTTTTCTAGGTGCTGAAGGAAAATTTCTCTTCATGGAGAAATACTGAGAGGAAAACAATGCGTCTGGTACTTACGGAAAATCCTTCCCTGTTAGTTAATTTTTTTTTCAGTCAGGACTATTTTGAAATTCTTCCATACCCTACCTGATAGAAATAGCCGTCTTTTCTTAACAAATGCGTCCAAGTAAATTTTAATCTTACTTTTGTAGCCTGAAGGCTATGTCCTTAGCTTATACTTTATGGAAACTTTCATAAGAGCTTACCCCATTTTTTGGAAAAGCAATCCATCCAAGGTCCCCCATGACAGTGCGTGAGTCCAATAAATTCACTGTAAATAGAAAAAAAGCAACAAACTGAGTATATCTGTATTTCACTCCATTGAGATGTATACAGTGCATATTACCAGGAATGGATTTTGTGTTCTTATGATGAATACAAGGGTGACAAATTAGTATTATAACGAGACAGAACAGTTGGTTTGTAATAAATGAATGGAGAAATGCAACAAAAGCACTTAAACTATGTATAACCCTAAATGCTGCTGTCACCAAATAAGAGAAAGAGTAAAAACAGGATGAAATAAGTAGTACCGAAAATAAAACAAAAGTAAAAACTTAGAGCTGGGATTAATTTGGAGCCTTAAAAGTTATAGCTAAGCTTTTTTCTTTTTCCTCAAAAGCTGTTATGAACTGGCAAATATTACATTAAGAAACAATAAACATTTTATGAACATATTTAACGTTTTCACACTGATAACCCAAACCTTCAATACAAGTTCTAAAGTTTAATTAAAAATAAAACAAATCTATATATTTTTACTCAAAATGAAGAATCTAGCAATCCAGTGCTTGTTGCTATAGTTCAGAGTACTGGGTATTCCAGAGGTCTTCTACTTAGAAACAACCAGGACTTAAAAAATGGCTCAAACTGAATTTTAAGATACTTTATGTCTCGAAGTCATAATATATTTATGAATCCCAGGACTGATATGAATGTCATCATTACAAGGGAATCAACAGATAAGTACACATTATTACATTGACCAACATATTGTTACACGTTGTACTTGCATTCAGTCATTGGGAAATTAAATCAATTTAAAGGGTAAAGTTAATTACATAATTCACGTATGGGTATTTTGTTTGTTTGTTTGTAACATCTGTTTCTCATAAATTTGTCAATGTAACTGACCCATTTTAAAGGAACTTGATATATTGACCACAAGAGAAGCCATATGTAATTTCTTGAAACTACCTATAACACATATAGGAGCCAGTATTTTAGCAGTCCATCAAATTTAAATGTATTATTATATCTGCAAATGTAAGCTTGAAGTATAAAAAATAGATTGTTGATATAAGTTTTTGTCCTGTGTGGCCCACAGTCATTCAGTCCCAAAGAAACACACAGAAACTGTATTATTTACAATACTGTTTGTCCAATGGCTCAGGCATAGTCCTAGCTACTCTATATTTTATTAACCCATTTCTATTAATCTTTGTATCACCACGAGGCTGAGACTTATTGCTAAGTTTCTTATGTCTTTCTTCTTTGGCAGCTACATGGTGTCTGGTCGACACTGCCTTCTTTCTCCCTGCATTTGGTTTAGTTTTCCTGCCTGCCTAGCTCTATTCTGCCTGCCATAGACCAAAGCAGATTTTTTTATCAACCAATGGTAGGAAAACAGATTCACAGCATTCAGAGGAGAATCAAACATCAAGAGCTGATAGGCAAGGAAATGGATTGTCAGACTATATCTAGAAAGTAAGAAAATCACTATGAGATAGCGAGAATCACAGCTAAAATTGGAAATTTGGATCTTTTGTTATTTTCTAAAACTTGTGTGCATGTATCATATAAATGTACTTCACACTAGTGAAATCATCATTTTAACCTACTTTAATCATATGGCCTCATAATGTTTATAGAATTATTAATTCCTTCAAAGATTGTTGCCTTTAGTGAAAAACAATAATTTAAAGGAGAAAAACAAAACAAACCACAATTATATTGATCATGTAAGACCTGACAGATATGACTCTGCATCAGTTTCTTCAGTAAGAGCTATGCTCTTCATCTTACTGTGTTGTTAGCCTTTCTTGTCTCCATGGGAATAAGGTTACATTTAACATAAATGTCCTTGTCCTCCTTTCAGTGTATCTGGGACACTAGGGCTCTGTCTAGACATGACTAAACGCCAGGGGAGTGAACACTTAATTGTTATGTTTATTCATTTAAATGATTCCTTTGGTTCATCTTCGAAATTGAGCAGCAGTATGCCTGTGTAGTTGAGATAAACTAGCTCATATAAACAGAGTGTGTAACTGTGTTGTAGTCAGTTGAACTTCAATCTGTAATCCAAAAGTGGTGTGCATAGGAACTCCAGGAACTGATAACCAGCCTTCTAGCAGAGCAGCCTTCCTCACAGGCTTCTGTCTAAACTGCAGCTTTAGATATTTATTATTAACTACAGAACGCCAATGTCTTCAAATTTTGGTACTGTCACTTGAACTAACCTTAGTCTACATTCATCTACATTTCTGTTTTAGGGTTCACATATAAGTAGAAGTGAATTAATTACCTCAGGACATAGTTTAGTTGCTACTTTAATTTTGGAAGGGTAGTCATTAATATTTGAATATACTATAAAATTGCAAGACAATAAGTAAGGAAGGAATCTATAATTTTACTTAATGTGATTTTTGTAAAAATGTTGTTTAAATAAAGAGATGACGAAGTTGATGAGAAATCCAAATGTCTCACTTTCCAACACTGTCTAAAATTTTATTCCTTTTGAAAATAAATGATTTTTATTTTCAAAATGATTTTTGTTTTCAGAAACAAAACTCAAAATGCAAGTAAAATATTTACACCTACAATTAAACACTTTAAAATTGAGAAAATAATATAAAATTATGTTATCTGTTGGATTATAATGTAAGATAAATTCTTGAATAACTTGAGGTATCCAGATGACTAAGAGAAAACAGTTATAATAATATGTAAAGTTAAAAATATATAAATGCAGGGGAGCGAGTCATAGAGAATAAGCCAGTATACTGAAATCTTCCTTGGCTTCTGTACCAGTTCCTACCTCCAGATTCCTGCCTTGAGTTTCTTCAGTGATAGACAGTAAAATGAAAGTGAAATTAATACATTCCCACTAATATGTATAAAATACTTTCCTTTCCAACCAATTTAGTTGAGTCAAAAAACTATCACCTGAGAATGGCTAACACTTCATTTTTATCTGACATTTTATGAAGCAGTATTAGCCATCATTTATCTTCCCCTTCCTAAACCTGAGTGTGGCATTATTGCTCCAAGTCCTGGTATCTTCCAGTTCTTATCATTTATACTGACATGTTTTATCAAAAAAAAAAAAAAAGAAGAAGAAAAACTGGGGACGGAAAGGGAGCCAATAATTGAGAGTTTGTACTGTTCTTGCACAATACATAGATTTTGATTCCATCACCAGTATCAAGCAGATCATATAAGCCTGGAACTTCAACTCAGCAGATGATACTCCCTTCTGGGCTTTGCAAAGAGCTACCTTCATATATACATATTTACAAACACAAACACACACCGAGAGAGAGAGAGAGAGAGAGAGAGAGAGAGAGAGAGAGAGAGAGAG